TCTGCGTGGCTCCCGTCGATGATCTATAACCCAAAATGAAGCAAATTGTGACTCGTCAATGGAATTGGGCCAAACATCCCAATGCAAGACCCTCTTTAAAAACAACAAACACAAAAACTCTTGAGAGCCTGTGATGCTTTCCTGGGCACACGAAGGGCCTTGCTGTTGCCATAGACGTTTCAAGCCCTAGGCTACGCCAGAGTTTGCGTGAGTCAAAAAAAAGAAAACGCCACGCTTGCTAAATGTTGGTCGGAATGGTCAATAGGCTGATGTGAGCGAGTTTCTTCCCGGTGCACAAGGTAGGCCCTGGGCTGTAACTCTGGCAAGCAGCGGCTGGATCCAAATGGTCATGGAAACGAGGTGAAAGGCAGAGGCAAGGTACGGGGGCACCGATGGGGTGGACATGGTGAGAGAGGAAGAAAGGTGAACAAAAAAGGGTGGACGCAGTGAGAGAGCAGAGAGGCGGCGTGCGGTTGGGGCCGTTGGACCAACGTTGGGCCCAACGTTCCACGGGCCACCCCCCCCCCCCCCCTTATTCATTCACGACAAACCAACGGGCCCTTTGTGGGGCCCTCTTATTGCGCGTGGCTCAGTGGGAATGGTCCCCTTTGGCACTCCCGCTCTGGGTGGCCCCGGGGTTAGGGGTCGGCAACCTGCGGCTACGGAGCCGCATGCGATGGGCCCTTTACGGACTGCAGTGAGGCTCTTGAAATTCGACAAAAAAATGGCTCTTCTTGTTATTTTGGTTGCCGACCCCAGACCATGGAAGGCCAATTTACCATGGGAGTCCAGATTACCATGTATGTCCAGTTTGCCATGGGAGTCCATTCACTATGGAAGTCCAGTTTACCATGGAAGTCCAGTTCAACCATGAAAGTCCAGTTTATCATGGAAGTCCAGTTCACCATGGAAGTCCAGTTCACCATGGAAGTCCAGTTTACCATGGAAGTCCAGTTCACCATGGAAGTCCAGTTTACCATGGAAGTCCAGTTCACCATGGAAGTCCAGTTCACCATGGAAGTCCAGTTTACCATGGAAGTCCAGTTTACCATAGGAGTCCAGTTCACCATGGAAGTCCAGTTCACCATGGAAGTCCAGTTCACCATGGGTAGGGGTTGGCAACCCTGCGGCTTCGGAACCGCAATCGGTGTGGTACTTTAAGGGCAGCTTTCGTGACAGTTATTTAATCAGGACCCACCTTCTCGTATTCACCGCCACAGTGCATTGCGTCTCTTTAAATATTGACGTTTTTTGTTGTTGTTTACCCAATTAGAAAAAAAATGTCTCTTTTTGTTGTTTTAGTTGCCGACCCCTGGGGTTAGGGGAATTCTTTCCATGAGATGCTTCATGGACCGGGAGTGGGGGGTGGGTACACAGAGCAGAGGTTGCAACCGGGTACCCGATACCCGTACCCTACCCGATACCCGGCTACCCGTACCCGGCCGGGTACAGGTAGCCATTTGCGACCCTGATGCGGCCGGGTACGGGTACGGGTAGGCCGTGAGTCACTGGTGAGTAACCGTTTGTCACTCATTTCGGGTAGGGTACGGGTAGGGAACGGGTACCCGTACCTACCCGACTACGGGTACCCATTTGCGACCCTGGTGCGGCCGGGTACGGGTATGGGTAAGGAATCAAAACCCGTTTGTGACCTCTGACACAGAGAGAGAGAGAGAGTGAGACGGGATCTGCCAGTTGTGGAGCGACAGAGGTGAGACAACACGATGCCAAGTGTAGGGCAGAGACAGAACGCAATAAACGAGGGACGGGTGCCGCATGCGTGTACGTGTGTGTGGGCCTGTGTGTGTACGTGTGTGTGGGCGTGTGTGTGTACGTGTGTGTGGGCGTGTGTGTACGTGTGTGTGTGCGTGTGTGTGTACGTGTGTGTGTACGTGTGTGTGTGTGTACGTGTGTGTGTACGTGTGTGTGTACGTGTGTGTGTACGTGTGTGGGTACGTGTGTGTGTGTGTACGTGTGTGTGTACGTGTGTGTGTACGTGTGTGTGTACGTGTGTGGGTACGTGTGTGTGTGTGTACGTGTGTGGGCGTGTGATGCACGCTGAACTTCTTTCGCACCGTACGTAGCCGACCGCGCTAATCGGGGGGGAAGGTGCGTAGAATGGATGGCGACAGTAGAAGTGGAAACGCGGGGAAGTCCGGGGGAGCGACGGAGAGAGAACGGGGACGAGAACACCAAGTGGGGAAGGGAACAACATTTAAAACAAACAAAAACATTATATTTGGGTCTTTCGGTAAAGTCACGTAGATAGGTTTCAAATAAAATAACAAAAAAATTACGAAAAGACTACGACGTTTCTATCGCAACGCAAGCGATCGTCATCAGGAGTGTGTTGCGATCGAAACGTCGTCGTTTTTTTTGTTATTTTCCTTGAACCTATCCACGTGACTTTACCGATAGACCCAAAGAGCATGAATTCCTGCAGTCAAGAAAGCTTTAAGTCAAGAAGCAAAAAACACAATAGCGCTCACGGTGCGAGGCATCGGACGCGGCCGAAAGGAACCCCTTCCCCCCCTCGGCCAGCCACCAACCTTTGAGCGAACCCAACGTGGTGAACAGAAGCAGGTTGCGATAAAGGGTACGGAGCGGACGTGCTGGGATGGACGTTCGTAGCCGACGAGCTATGTGGGACGTAGAGGTAGCATGTGTCTGCTCTTGGGGTGCGTACGAAGAGAGATGTGCGTGAAACTGCGTGCGTGCGTCAGTGTGTGTCTCATGGCGTGTTGTGGGGAGCGGTGGTGCAGCGGTTAGCGCTACGCTGCACTACGAACCAGGCGACCCGAGTTCAATTCCCGCTCGCGACCAACACCGGTGGCGATTATCTGAGCTGGTCCTGGGCCTCCCCTAGGTCGACTCAGCCTCAAATGTGTACCTGGTGCGGTGTGTAAACATCGCCGCTAGGGAGACAAAGGCGGTCGGGCGTGGTGCTGGCTACCCACCCCCTCATGTGCTGTTCCGGCCTTCATAGGTGCTCGCTAACAGCACTTGCCCCTACAGTCTGTTAAGGCTATACGGGGGATCTTTGTCTCATGGCGTGTATGGCGGTGGGGAGCGGTGGTGTAGCGGTTAGCGCTACGCGGCGCTACGAACCCGGCGACCCGAGTTCGATTCCCCGCTCGCGACCAACACTGGTGACGATTATCTGAGCCGGTCCTGGGCCTTCCCCTAGGTCGACTCGGCCTCAAACGAGTACCTGGTGCGGTGAGTAGTAAACATCCCAAACTGAGGGAGACAAAGGTGGGCAGGCAAGGTGCTGGCCACCCACCCCCTCGTGTGCCGTGCCGGCCATCACAGGTGCTACTCGCTAACGGCACTTGCCCCAACAGTCTGTTAAAGCTATACCGGGGATATTTGTCTTTGTCTTTCTGATGCACATGCTCCACTTCCCAAGTAGCATCTTGAGATGCAGTCACATTGAGATTGGGCCCTCCCTAGGTCGACTCAGCCTTAAATGAGTACCTGGTGTGGTGTGCAAACATCGCCACTGGGGAGACAAAGGCGGTCGGGCGTGGCACTGGACAGCCACCCTCTCGTGTACCCCGCCGGCCTTGATAGGTGATCGCTATCAGCACTTGCCCCAACGGTCTGTGAACGCTGAACGGGGGATCTTTGTCGTCTTTGTTGGTAATGTTTGGTGATTCTGGTGCACAAGTGCGTACACGCAGATGCGTGCGCGTGTGTGCGCATGCGATTCTGTGGTGAAAACGCAGCAAGTTGGCACTGCAGGGGGCACAGCATGGGTGCATCAGCCAGTCAACTCGTTCAGTCAACCCATGGCACCTGCTGGGTCTGTCCCGTGACCTCCTGCCAGCAGCGAGCCTCCTCCGACACTGCACGTGACAGCCTCAAAGTGCACCTAGCCTGGCGCAGGTGCCGTGGTGACGTCACCGTCACTTAGTGGCGAAGTGCGGGTATTGGGTATCGGTATGATTCAGCGTACGTCTGCGCGTGTCATTGTGTGTACGTAGGGGCGCGTGTGCGTGCATCTTAGTGTTTGTGTGCAACTCTTGTCATTTTGGTTGCCGACCTCTGACCGTGGAAATCCAGTTCACCATGCGAGTCCAGTTCACTATGGAAGTCCAGTTCACCATGGAAATCCAGATTACTATCGAAATCCAGTTTACCATGAAAGTCCAGTTTACCATGAGAGTCCAGTTTACCATGAGAGTCCAGTTTACCATGGAAGTCCAGTTTACCATGACAGTCCAGTTTACCATGGAAGTCCAGTTTACCATGAGAGCCCAGTTTACCATGGAAGTACAGTTTACCATGGAAGTACAGTTTACCATGGAAGTTCAGTTCACCATGGAAATCCAGATTACTATCGAAATCCAGTTTACCATGGCAGTCCAGTTTACCATGAGAGTCCAGTTTACCATGGAAGTCCAGTTTACCATGAGAGTCCAGTTTACCATGAGAGTCCAGTTTACCATGGAAGTCCAGTTTACCATGGAAGTCCAGTTTACCATGAGAGTCCAGTTTACCATGGAAGTCCAGTTTACCATGAGAGTCCAGTTTACCATGAGAGTCCAGTTTACCATGGAAGTCCAGTTTACCATGAGAGCCCAGTTTACCATGGAAGTACAGTTTACCATGGAAGTTCAGTTCACTATGAGAGTCCAATCTTAATTTTGGAGCTTTCGTGACTGCAGTTTACCATGGAAGTCCAGTTTACTATGGAAATCCAGTTCACCATGAAAATCCAGATTACTATCGAAATCCAGTTTACCATCGAAATCCAGTTTACCATGAGAGCCCAGTTTACCATGGAAGTACAGTTTACCATGGAAGTACAGTTTACCATGGAAGTTCAGTTCACTATGAGAGTCCAATCTTAATTTTGGAGCCTTCGTGACTGCAGTTTACCATGGAAGTCCAGTTTACTATGGAAATCCAGTTTACCATGGAAGTCCAGTTTTCCATGGAAGTGAAGAACACGGACCGCGTACGTCGAGGCGAGAATGGGTGCCCGGTGACCTCACCGGTACTGCTGTTTGGTGTCGCAGCGGCCGGCGTTGGACTCGCGCAGTTTTGTGGCGAGCACGCGGACGATGTTGATGAACAAGATGAAGTTCACCTTGCGATGGGGGGCAGGGGGGGGGCAGGGGGGGAAGGGGCAGCAGGTCGGGAAACGTAACGAAGCGTCGGTCAACCTTGATTTGAAGGTCAACGTCAATTCCTCGCACTCGCGACAGAGCGAACGAAAAACCACGAAGATCCGCCGCCGGCCGCCACCACCACCACCACCCCGTATAGCCTGAACAGAATTTCCCCCCCAGTGTCTCCCTTAGACCCCCCCCGCCTCCCACCCCTCCCCCCACCCCCTCACCACCCACCACCCCCCACCTCCACCCCGCCCAGTAGACATGGAACGTTGGGCCCAATGTTGGTCCGATGGTTACAACCGCAACGCCGCCTCCCTGCATCTCTCGCCGCGTCCCACACCCATTGGTGACCTCTCTTGCTCTCTCACCGTGGTCCAGAGGTTGCAAACGGGTTTTGATTCCTTACCCGTACCCGTACCCTGCCGCACCAGGGTCGCAAACGGGTATCCGTACCCGGCCGTACCCGTACCCTACCCGTACCCGGCCGGGTACGGGTAGGGTACGGGTATCGGGTACCTGATTGCGACGTCTGGGATGAAGCCATGTTGCAGGCGCGGGTGGGTTGATTCTAGGAACTTGAATTGTGAGAAGAGACAAGACGTTGGGAAATGAGTGACAAACGGTGACTCACCAGTGACTCACGGCCTACCCGTACCTGTACCCGGCCGCACCAGGGTCGCAAACGGCTACCCGTACCCGGGTACGGGTAGCCGGGTATCAGGTAGGGTACGGGTATCGGGTACCCGGTTGCGACCTCTGCCGTGGTCCACCCCAGGTCACCCACCCACCCCACGCCACTGGGGCCTCCTTGGGGAACGGGCGGTTCCGTTTCACACCGGGGGCTCGTTGAAGGGTGCAAGAAAATTCACGGCAGCTTACCAGGATGGCAAGCAGGATGGGCACCTGGTAGATCCACTTGAAGTTGCCAGCACTGAGGTCCCAGCACCTGTTTCACGGAGCCAGAAACATTAACCACCGTCACCACGTAGCAATAATAATAACAGTAATATATTTTTACTTCTTCTTGGTTCTTTCGGTAAAGTCACGTAGAAGGGAAATAATAAAATAACAAAAATAAAAAGACAGCGTCCGACACACCTGTTCTTCACCTGAGGACGGCTGCTTGCGTTGTGGCCGAAACGTCGTGAAAATTATTTTATTATGTTTTATTTTTATTATTTTATATTTCCCTTCTACATGACTTTACCGAAAAATACAAGAAAATGAATCCCTGCAGTCACGACAGCTTTCAATCGAAATATTTTAACTTGCAACGTGTCACACGATATTCGCTCGCTCTGTCATAATACACTGTCCTTGAAGTATTGCGGTCTATGCAAACATGACTCCTTGTAAAAAGGTGTCAGTTTTGTTGCCAGATAGAAGGGTAAAAAACCAATTATCATATTTTTACTGGCAAATGAGGTTCCCATAGTGTAGATGCTTGCCCCGAGCTCTCATACTCTGATGGTGCATTGTCTTTGAGTTGTGCGCCTTTTGGCGTCATCTGGTCTAACCCATGTGACACTCGGCTTTTGTTTGTATTATGACTGCAGGTTTTGCGGTCTATGCAAACATGATTCCTTGTACAAATGTGTCAGTTTTGTTGCCAGATAGAAGGGTAAAAAAACAATTATCAACGAAAAAAGAGTTGCGTGTGTGTGCGTGACAGAGAGAGACATAGGCACTCGCAATAACGCACTGTGTATAAAATGAAGAACGGTGATTAATAATACGTACTGAGTGTCGGCAAAAGTAGCTCTCACGCTAACCCAAGCAGCCACAAACACAGCTGGCACGCCTGGAGGAAGAGCACACAACGCACACATTTTTCTTTGACCGTGACCTCCGGATTAAAAGATGCTCCGGAAAGTAAGATCTCACCCACAAAACATAGTTTTTTCCCTCCCCCCCCCCCCCCCGGTGTCAATAAAGTTATATGAATCTGTCTTCTTGGTTCTTTCGGTAAAGTCACGTAGAAGGGAAATAATAAAATAATTAAAATAAAACATAATAAAATAATTTTCACTGTGAGAATCATTTTATAATGTTTTATTTTTTTAATAATAAATAATTCTCGCTGTGAGAATTATTTTATGTTTGATTTTTCTTATTTTATTATTTCCCTTCCACGTGACTTTACCGAAAGAACCAAGAAGATGAATCCCTGCAGTCAGGAAAGCTTTAAATCGAAATATATGAATCTGATCAAACAAACGAGACTAAGATCCCCCGTGTAGCCTCCACAGACTTTTGGGGCAAGTGCTGTCCGCGAGTTCCTACGTAGACCGGGTCGCCGGGTACGTAGCGCAGCGCGCTAACCGCTACACTGCCGCTCCCCACGAAACAAACGCACGCACACACGTAGACATCCGCATACACGCGCCTACACGATTACAACAATAATAATTTTAATTTCGATTTAAAGCTTTCGTGACTGCAGGGATTCATCTTCTTGGTTCTTTCGGTAAAGTCATCACGTAGAAGGGAAATAATACAATAAAAATAAAACATAATAAAATAATTCTCACGACGTTTCGGCCACAACGCAAGCAGCCGTCCTCAGGTGAAGACCAGGTCTGTCGGGGAGACAGCGTCTGAATGAAACACCACCACGCTTGGAGCGTATATTTGAGCTGGGTTGGAATAATAATTTACATTTACGAGGCACAATTCATCCAGGGACCTCAGTGCTCCGTGCACGAAATTTTGAAATAAAAACACTGCAAAGTCCACGGGGTCATAGGTGCAGTGGTTCTGAATCCTCTACTGCAGCCTGGTTCTCAGAAAGGGCATCTCGCACCCCCACCAGCGGTTTGCGACGCACCCCAGATTAAGAACCACGTGGTCGACACGTGGAAAGTTGCAGGCCTGCGGGGACGAAACAGGCGTGAGTCTGGCCAGAGGGGACCGAAGCGGGGGCCGAGAGCCCTCGTTTCGCGTAGCCGCTGGCAGCAGGGAGCCATTCCCCATGTGTCTTGGTGCAGCGCGCCCAGACACGTGGAACGAAAGGCCTCTGTTGATTGGTTACTCTGGTGGGGGGGGGGGGGGGCAGTAGGGCGGTGGGGAGGTGGCGGGGGGTGTCCTTCACTTCAGGGGGCCCCAACCCCTGGGCCGTGGACCGGTACCGGTCCGTGGCCTGTTAGGAACCGGGCCGAACAGCAACAGGAGGTGAGAGCGGTGAGTCCGTGCGTGGCCCGGCCCCGTTATTTCAGTAGCAGTTTTGGTAAACCCACAAGCTCTAACCCCCTAGCCAACATGAGTACAAAAAACAAACGTCGCTGGAGAGCTTCTTTGAAAAGTGGTAAAGACCCAATGATGACCCCCCCCCACCCTCCCCCGGTCCGTGAAAAAATTGTCTTCCACGAAACCGATCCCTGGTGGCAGAAAGGTTGTGGATCGCTTGCTCGTTTACCCCATCCGATGAGAGTGAAGCCGCCGAGGTACTTCTTGTCGGAGAAGAACGCCATGAAGATGAGGCTGTGCAGGTAGAGCCCCTCGACGAGGATCCAGTAGTAGTTGGTCGCGAGGAAGTAGAGGAAGAGCGTCACCACCACCTTGCAGCCCACCTGTGAGTGGAAACGAGTTTGGGCCCAAAATTTCGATTTAAAGCTTTCGTGACTGCAGGGATTCATCTTCTTGGTTCGTTCGGTAAAGTCACGTAGAAGGGAAATAATAAAACATAATAAAATAATTCTCACGACGTTTCGGCCACAACGCAAGCAGCCGTCCTCAGGTGAAGACCAGGTCTGTCTCCCCAGGTCTGTCGGGGAGACAGACCTGGTCTTCACCTGAGTACGGCTGCCTGCTTGCGTTGTGGCCGAAACGTCGTGAGAATTATTTCATTATGTTTTTTTTTTCTACGTGACTTTACCGAAAGAACCAAGAAGATGAGTTTGGGCCCATTCCACGGATTGCCTCTGCAACTAGCAACTAGCCGCATCAGGCGACAGCCAGAACCCCGACTTTGCCAATGAGACCCAGAAGGTTGAAACCGGCCCCCAACTGCTGCTCGCTAAATATTGGTCCGCAAAGCCAATGGGGTCAGTTGAAGCAAAACCGTGTGGTCGTTTATACGTGGAGAGGCAGAAGAAATCGAGTCTTGCTTACATTTGCTTTCACCCAATTTTATTCAGATGTTTAAAAAAAACATTACTCTAACTTAAATTCGGATAAAAAAAAAACCATAATTAAACACGACGAGAGAAAAATAACGTCTCACCACAAAAAATGCATCCGCAAGCATTTGCAGAAATCCGATTACTCAGAAACCCTTATCTCCAACTCCCGTAGCACCGCGTATACACCACGGCAATATCCAGGGTTCATAATCAACGTTTTTGGGTTTAGATCGCGTTTATTTATAAATGTGTCGTAACCCTCCACCACCCGACACGGCCAATCAGTAAAAATGTGTCACGTTGACAAAGACAAATAGTTCACTGCTTTAGCCCACCGGTGTGTTGAAGCCACAACATTTACAATTTGAGTACGACGTTTCGCTGGTAATTGCATCCAGCATCATCGGGCAATTCACCATTCTGGCGAATTGCCCGATGATGCTGGATGCACCATTCTGGCGAATTGCCCGATGATGCTGGATGCAATTACCAGCGAAACGTCGTACTCAAATTGTAAATGTTGTGGCTTCAACACACCGGTGGGCTAAAGCAGTGAACTATTTGTCTTTGTCAACGTGACACATTTTTACTGATTGGCCGTGTCGGGTGGTGGAGGGTTACGACACATTTATAAATAAACGCGATCTAAACCCAAAAACGTTGATTATGAATAACATTGGTCGCGAAAGCCTACGTGTTAAACTGAATATCCAGGGTGTTGATGCAGAGCTCCCAGAGCACCCCGTTACAATTTGGGCTTCAAGATTAACGAAGGGCTGCAATGACATTGTGCCGTGAGAACTCCCGTGGCAAAAAACATAAATAGACTATGGCCCCCCCCCGTCAGCCCCCCCTCCGCCTCCCCCCGCCACCTCCTCCGCCACCTCCCCCCCTCCCCCCGCCTCCCCCCCCCGCCGCTTCCCCCCCCCTGCCTCCCCCCCTACTGACTCCCCCCCACCCCTATCCCCCCGACCATCACTCTCCCCCACCACTCCCCAACACCCCCCACTCCTCTACTCCTTCGACTTGCTAACGATGTTGTTGTTTCTGCTGCTATTGTTCTTGTTCAATTTAACACGTAGGCTTTCGCGACCAATATTATTCATAATATAGGTTTTAGGGTCAGATCGCGTTATTTATAAATGTGTCGTAACCCTCCACCACCCGACACGGCCAAACAGTAAAAACAGTAAAAAAATTATCAGCGAAACGTCGTACTACTCAAATTTAAAAATGCTGTTGATCCTCTCTTCAGCACACCGGTGGGCTAAAGAAGTGAACTATTTTGTCCTTTAAAAACGTGACACATTTTTTTACTGTTTGGCCGTGTCGGGTGGTGGAGGGTTACGACACATTTATACAAAAAAACGCGATCTGACCCAAAAACCTTTATTATTAATTGTTGTTGTTGTTGTTGACGCCCCGCCCGCGTACGTACGTATTGCATCTTGTCCTGCGGCGCCTCGCTGATCGCACGGAGGTCGTCGGCCGCAAAGGCCTCGATGTCGTGGATGCCCGAGCGCGAGTAGAGCACCGAGTCCTTGACGAAGATGCTCACCGCGCGCAGCATGAACGACACGAAGAGGTGCGTGTGGATGTAGTTGCGCGTGCAGTGCAGGCGCCTGCGGTGGGAGGGGTGGGGTGGGGTGAGGTGTGGTGGGTGGGGTGGGGTGGGTGAGGTGAGGTGGGTGGGGTGTGGTGGGTGGGGTGAGGTGGGTGGGGTGGGTGGGTGGGGTGGGTGGGGTGGGTGGGGTGGGTGGGGTGAGGTGGGTGGGGTGAGGTGGGTGGGGTGAGGTGGGTGGGGTGTGGTGGGTGGGATGAGGTGGGTGGGGTGAGGTGGGTGGGGTGTGGTGGGTGGGGTGAGGTGGGTGGGGTGGGGTGGGTGGGGTGGGTGGGATGGGTGGGGTAGGGTGGGGTGGGTGGGGTGGGGTGAGGTGGGTGGGGTGAAGTGGGTGGGGTGAGGTGGGGTAGGGTGGGTGGGGTGGAGTGGGGTGAGGTGGGTGAGGTGGGTGAGGTGGGGTGGGGTGGGTGGAGTGGGTGGGGTGGGGTGGGTGGGGTGGGTGGGGTGGGTGGAGTGGGTGGGGTGGGGTGGGTGGGGTGGGTGGGGTGAGGTGGGTGGGGTGAGGTGGGGTGGGGTGGGTGGGGTGAGGTGGGTGGGGTGGAGTGGGGTGGGGTGGGTGGGGTGAGGTGGGTGGGGTGGGTGGGTGGGGTGGAGTGGGGTGGGGTGGGTGGGGTGGGTGGGGTGAGGTGGGGTAGGGTGGGTGGGGGGGTGAGGTGGGTGAGGTGGGGTGGGGTGGGTGGGGTGAGGTGGGTGGGGTGGGGTGGGTGGGGTGGAGTGGGGTGGGGTGGGGTGGGTGGGGTGAGGTGGGTGGGTGGGGTGGGTGGTTTGGGTGAGGTGGGTGGGTGGGGTAGGTGGGGTGGGTGGGGTGGGTGGGGTAGGTGGGGTGGGTGGGTTGGGGTGTGGTGGGTGGGGTGAGGTGGGTGTGGTGGGTGGGTGGGGTGAGGTGGGTGGGGTGGGTGGGGTGTGGTGGGTGGGGTGGGGTGGGTGGGGTGGGTGGGGTGGAGTGGGGTGGGGTGGATGGGGTGAGGTGGGTGGGTGGGTGGGGTGGGTGGGGTGTGGTGTGGTGGGGTGGGGTGAGGTGGGTGGGTAGGTGGGTGGGTGGGTGGGTGGGTGGGGTGGGTGGGTGGGTGGGTGGGGTGGGTGGGGTGGGGTGAGGTGGGGTGGGTTGGGTGAGGTGGATGGGTGGGGTAGGTGGGGTGGGGTGGGTGGGGTGGGTGGGTTGGGGTGAGGTGGGTGGGGTGTGGTGGGTGGGGTGAGGAGGGTGGGGCGGGTGGGGTGGGGTGAGGAGGGTGGGGTGGGTGAGGTGGGGTGGGTGGGGTGGGGTGGGGTGAGGTGGGTGGGGTGTGGTGGGTGGGGTGGGTTGGGGTGAGGTGGGTGGGGTGTGATGGGTGGGGTGGGTGGGTTGGGGTGAGGTGGGTGGGGCGGGTGGGGTGGGTGAGGTGGGGTGTGGTGGGTGGGGTGAGGAGGGTGGGGCGGGTGGGTGAGGTGGGGTGGGTGGGGTGGGGTGGGGTGAGGTGGGTGGGGTGTGGTGGGTGGGGTGGGTTGGGATGAGGTGGGTGGGGTGTGGTGGGTGGGGTGGGTGGGTTGGGGTGAGGTGGGTGGGGTGGGTGGGGCGGGTGGGGTGGGTGAGGTGAGGTGGGTGGGGAACACAACAACAACAACGACGACGGAGAAAAACCTCAAATCTCACCACACTTCACTTCTATGGCACCGACGTCGCTGGTCGAACCGACGCGTCTCCACACCCCCCCCTCCCCTCCCCCATAATATTGGGAACGTGGTGAAATGAAGATCTATCGATTGATCGATCGGCGTTCTCTCCATCGGGGGGGGGGGGGGGGCGCATACGCGTTTCGTTGAATGACGAGCACCGCCCACGCGTTTGCGCTGGATCCGCGATCGGGGGGGGGGGCAAGAGGGTGCGAGGGGGGGCAGGTGGAGGGGAATGGGGAGCCGGGGGGGTGGATGGGGGGGAGGGGGGGTGGAGGAGGAGGGGGGGGTGCAAGATAAGTGGGACAGGGAACGGGGGGGGGGGAAGCGCCGACTGAGGAGGGTCCACGTGACCGGCGCTGCTGTGCGGAGACCCACGACCCGGCAAAGAGCGATTTAGTTATCGGAACTTCGCTTGTCCCCCTCCCTGCCCCCCACCTGCCCCCCCTTGCCCCTCCCCCCACCCCACTGGACATCCGGAGAGACCACCACTGAACCGTTTTCATCCCGAAAATGTCCTCTCAAACAAACCCGCCAATTGCCTAGGGGACCGCTCGGGTCCTCCCGGCTCCCTCCCTCCCGGAGCCTCGCGAGTGCCTCCTCGTTCCTTCGTGCAAAGAAAACATTTTATTTATTTTTGCTTCAACTTCGTTCGGTAGAAGGGAGGGAGAGAGAAAAGGAAAAGTCTCTGTTGCTTTTCCGCTGCTCCGTGTTTCTTGGAATCCCTTTGCTGGTGCTCATCAACAGCTCGAATCTCCTTCACTCCCCCCCCCCCCCCCTCCCTCTTTATAATGATCATAATAGCGCATAGTCTTTGGTTCTTTCGGTAAATATACTCGTAGTTTTTTCGGTAAAGTCACCATGTAGGTAAAAAATTAAATTTAAATTAATAAAAAATAAAATAATAAAATGCACGACGTTTCGGAGGCAACACAAGTCTCCGTCATCAGGTGGGACCGTCACAGCCAGATTTGCTGTATCAAGTGATTAATTTTAATTTCATTTTTTTACCTACGTGACTTTACCGAAAAAACTACGAGTATGAATCCTTGCAGTCACGAAAGCTTCAAATCTTTCGGTAAAGTCACGTAGGTAGAAAAAATAAATATATCACTTTTTACCGAAAGAACCAAAGAGTATGGATTCCTGCAGTCACGAAAGTTTCAAACCAATGACAGCGCAGAAAACTAAAAACACATTCCTGCGGAGGGAGCTGGTAGGAACGTCGGGTTGCTCGGTCAATGGCCTGTAGGGTCAACGGCGGCGTGGTGTATTCCGCAAATATGGCCGACTGTGAGGGCGGGCACAAGCCGGCGTGAGTAGGTTAACGTTGAGTTGTATAAGGGCACCACGGGGTGACCAGCCCCTCCCCACCCTCCCCACCCTCCCCACCCAGCCCCACCCCTCCCACCCCCCACCCAGCCCCACCCTCCCCACCCAGCCCCTCCCGTATATTTAGAGTTTGCGTGTCTCTTTCTCATCATCATCATCATCACGGTGGCTATGAGATGTGAACTACCTCGCCTGGTCTACAGGAGGTCGTGAGTTCGATGAAGACCCTGACGCCTGCTACTGTATATTTGCAGTTTGCGTGTCTCTCTTTCATCATCATCACGGTGGCCAGGAGATGTTAACTACCTCGCCTGGTATGCAGGAGGTCGTGGGTTCCATCCTGACGCCTGCTGCTGCTGCTGTATATTTTGAGTTTTCGGTGTCTCTCTCTCTGTCCCCGTGTTCGTGTGATTTTTTTCTCAGGTTCCTCCGGGTTTTCACCCAACACATTTAGACTCAACATCACGCGTTTAGGGTATTTGGCTGGTAGTATAAATGTCCACATGATGATGATGATGATAAGCCACTTCCATTGAGCTATCATTTGTGCTGGCCAGCTCGCTTCTGATAAAGCGCTACATAGCTCAGGGGGCCTTAACGTGATGAACTTAAAAAGTAAAATAGCGGCGGTGTCGTTGCTGCTGTAGCTCACTCAGCACCGCGGATCTCCCGTGTAAGACAAACACGAAACATTCCCCGGGCGACAACCCAACCGGCCAAACGGGAACCAATCCACGCAGCACTTTAGGAGCCGTCCATAAATGACGTCACGCGATTGTGTACGATTTTTGACCCCCCCCACCCCCTCGTCACACGGCGTCACAAAAAGTCTGAACCCCCCCCCCCTCAAATATGACGTCACAAAGCTCTGTCCTCCCAACCCCCCCCCCCCCCCCCAAAAACCATATTTCCATTTTGAAAATAAAAGCACAGTCGCATTTGCGTTGGTAATAACATCCTGCATCATCGGGCGATTTGCCCGAATAGTGAATAATTATTATGAGAGACAGAGAGAAGGGGGGGGGCGTAACGGGGGGGAATCGCGTCGCCTCACTTGAAGTATCCGAGGACGAAGACTGCGACGGACAGGGAGCTGACGGACACGGAGTAGCCCACGGTGTACATCACGTAGAGCCGCTCGAACACGTCCTATGTGCGAGACGGACACACATCACCGGCACCGCCGACAGACCCGCTGGGGGGCGGGGGGCAGAGTGCTGTCAGCGAGCAAAGGCCGGCACCGCACACGCCATCCCCGCCCGCCTTTGTCTCCCCGGCAAAACGATGTTCACATCTGCGATTGGCTACGGTCGGCTACGTACGGCGCGAAAGAAGTTCGCCGCACGTACACACACCGCACCTCCGATTGGCTACGGCCGGCTACATACGGCGCGAAAGAAGTTCAACGCACGTACACACACCGCACCTCCGATTAGCTACGGCTGGCTACATACGGCACCAAAGAAGTTCAACGCACGTACACACACCGCACCTCCGATTAGCAACGGCCGGCTACGTACGGCGCGAAAGAAGTTCTACGCACGCACAGGCCACGCCATCCGATCGGCACGGCGCGAGAGAAAGTTTCGACGTGCGCGGCAACGGCGTCGGCGAGGGGCGAGCGACCGTCCCGGGAAGCTCCCCGTGGGGTTCGGTTCGCCGAACCTTGGTGCGCATGTGCAGCTCGGGCCGCAGGAACTGTGCGCACTCGGAGTAGTTGGCCCACGTCTTGTTGACGCCACCGGCGACGAAGAGCCACGAGCCGTTGGCGGTGCAGTGGCGGTGGGCCATGCCTGGGGGGGAGGGGGGCGGGGGAGGACGTTCGTCAAGCGGATGATGATTGTGGAGAAGGAGATGGGGAGGAATGAGTTCAAAAGCGACACGCAAACCGGCCCTTTGGGGACCCCCCCCCCCCGCTTCTCCTTTCACTCCCCCCCGCCCCCCCCCCGCCCCCCCCGCCCCCCCTACTCCTCTGGGTTGCCCTGGTGAAGCAGTCAAATGTCATCTTAGACACTTGACAACGAGCGGATGGTAATGCACGTGGCGTAAACAATAAACAACAGACGTCAACAACAACCAGTCAACAAACATCAATCAATTAAGGGGGTGAGGAGGAGGAGGGAGGGGAGACCGCCTTAAGTGCATCAACGCAGTGCAAAATAAATGTATCCACAGTGGGGATATTTGTCAGCTTGAGAGAAAAACGAGTTTCAAAAATCCCCGAAAGAACGCTCCAGCCTATAAATAGCCACTCGACTTAGAGAGAGCCGCCACACGGCACTCGTTCACTGGCTCACTAGCTCACTCTCTCACTCTCTCACTAGCTCACTCGCTCTCTCACTCTCTCACTGGCTCACTCTCGCACTCTCTCACTAGCTCACTCGCTCTCTCACTGACTCACTCTCTCAAACACTGACTGGCTCACTCTCTCACTCACTCTCTCACTCACTGACTCACTCTCTCACTGACTGGCTCTCTCACTCACTGGCTCACTCACTCGCTCTCTCACTGGCTCACTTACTTACTCTCTCACTGACTCACTCACTGGCTCGCTCACTCTCTCACTCACTCACTGGCTCGTTCACTCACTCACTCTCTCGCTCACTGGCTCGCGCACTCAATGGCTCACTCTCACTCACTCGCTCACCGGCTCGCTCACTCACTCACTCACCCTCTCACTCACTCACTTACTGGCTCACTGGCTCGCTCACTCACTCTCTCTCACTCACTCACTCGCTCACTGGCTTGCTCACTCTCTCACTCACTCACTCGCTCACTGGCTCACTCACTCACTAGCTCACTCTCTCACCGGCTCGCTAACTCACTCGCTCGCTCGCCCTCTCTCTCGCTCTCACCGCCTCGCTCTCTCTCACTCGCTCGTACCCTGGTGATTGAAGTCGTAGATGTATTCGGGGCAATGCACCGACACGAGGCTTCCAAGAGTTCCCGCGGGCCAACAAATAATCCCGTCCCATTCCGGGAAACAGTGGCGATCTGCGGGAGCAAAAGATGCGCGGCACAAGACAGATTCCTCAACTTGGATCATGCGGCTCGCGGTTACACCGCCAAACAAGGGACTTCGATGCCAACAGCCGTTTCTGTTCAGTAAACTTTCAGTTGATTTTGACGTTACCTAGTGAGCTAAGATGGCACTTGAATCGGGGTGGTCATCGATCAAAAGCATCAGTTTGCCTGGCAAACGCAACATAACAGGTCGCTAGAATTTAATTTGTTTTTAATAAAAAGGAATGCATCATAAAGGGGGGGGGGGGGATTGGCAACAAATCACGTAAATGTAGAGTGTGTTACACAGTTATCTTTAAAATATTTCACTAAAGTGAGGATCATGATTAAAGAACGCGCTGCAAATGAGGCACAAAAACGCAAATGGTAAAATAGTTTGCCGGAGAAACATCAACATTTCAAGTTACAGTAACGATGACAACGTTCGCGATATTGCACCCGAGTTCAAGATAACGCAACGTCTCGATATAACGAGCACGTTCACGGTGCCAGTGGCCTCCTGGGTTCTTTCGGTAAAGTCACGTAGAAGGGAAGTAATAAAATAATAAAAATAAAACGTAATAAAATACAATTCTCACGACGTTTCGGCCACAATGCAAGCAGCCGTCCTCAGGTGAAGAACAGATCTGTTGCCAACGATGCCAACGGTGCCATCGATGGTAATGGTGGCAATGGTGACAATGGTGGCAATGATGGCAATGGTGGTAATGGTGGCAATGGTGGCAATGGTGGCAATGGTGGCAATGGTGGCAATGGTGGCAATGGTGGCAATGGTGGCAATGGTGGCAATGGTGGCAATGGTGGCAATGGTGGCAATGGTGGCAATGGTGGCAATGGTGGCAATGGTGGCAATGGTGGCAATGGTGGCAATGGTTGTAATGGTGGCAATGGTGGCAATGGTGGCAATGGTGGCAATGGTGGCAATGGTGGCAATGGTGGCAATGGTGGCAATGGTGGCAATGGTGGCAATGGTGGCAATGGTGGCAATGGTGGCAATGGTGGTAATGGTGCCAAAGCGATGGCCAGGTTCGCAGTTCAAGGGTCCGCCGATTCGATTCGCTGTTGCTCCCTCCACGGTGGCACGGAAATCTCTGAAAATCGTCGCCCACCGCGCCGCCGTTCAGTCTGCCCGTCCACGCGATGCAGAGGCGGGGAGGGGGGGAGGGGCGGTGTTCTTCGTGTGGGACAAAACGTGTCAAAGAGACAGGAGTTGTGTTGAGATGTTGAGATGAGTGGGTATCCTCTCGCAAGGAATCGAGGTAAAGCGTTAACCGCACACAGTGCTTGTGGTGAACATGCAAACTCTCAGCCGTTCATCCTGGCAGCAGCAGCAGCGGCAGCGGCAGCGGCGGCAGCGGCGGCAGCGGCGCCAGCGGCGGTAGCGGCGGCAGCAGCAGCGGCGGCAGCAGCAGCAGGAGCAGGAGCAGCAGCAGCAGGAGCATCAGCAGCAGCAGGAGCAGCAGCAGCAGAAGCAGCAGCAGCAGCAGCGGCGTTCGGCTGGCTGTCGAACAACACCCAGAGCCAAATTCGCGTAAAAACCAAAGTTGAATTGTCATCGAGGGTTTGGCGAATTTTGTTTGCTAAACTTCTTTCACGCCGTCACGTAGCCAACCGTGGTAATTGGAGGTGCGGGGAAAAGGACAGGAATCAGTAACGCAAAACGCCGTTCTAAAGGACTTATTGTTGACAACGTAGATGACTCAAAAGTGCGTAGCGCCCAGTGGCTTCCGAATATCGGAAATCGAAGAGCGTTCCAGACGGCCGCGGAAGTGCAGCTGAGAGCGCCGCCCGATGCGGTCACCACCGTCTTTGTTCGATGGTTGAATCATTGATGCAAGGTGTCTTAAATCATTGTCTTAAATCATTGTTTTAAATCGTTGTCTTAAGTCATTGTCTTAAATCATTGTCTTAAGTCGTTGTCTTAAATCATTGTCTTAAATCATTGTCTTAAATCATTCTTTTAAATCGTTGTCTTAAGTCATTGTCTCAAATCATTGTCTTAAATCGTTGTCTTAAGTCATTGTCTTAAATCATTGTCTTAAATCATTGTCTTAAATCGTTGTCTTAAATCATTGTTTTAAATCATTGTTTTAAATCATTGTTTAAAATCGTTGTCTTAAATCATTGTTTTAAATAATTGTCTTTAATCATTCTCAAATCACCGCTGCCTCTGTCCACCCTGCAGGAGTAACGGGTTCCCGACAGCCGCGTTGTGTGTGTGGTGGGGTAGGCTGTGGGTATTCCCACCTCTTCCAAGATGGGTTGCCAGCATTGGAAGAGTAGGCCAAATACCCTCCACTACAGGGGCTCTCTTGAGCTTTTCCTCCAGCAGGGCTGTGTCTGTACCTTTAACTATATTAATAATTATAATAATACTATTATCATACTAATTATCATTATTATAATGTTGTTATCATATAAATAATGTATCATATCTTATCATACTAATGATCATTTTCATCATACTGTAATCATAATAATGAGTATTATCACCACACTATTATCATAACAACGATCATCATTACCATCGTAATTAAAATTAATACCACCCAGATATCCACGTTGAGTCTAAGGGGAACCCTTTCCTTTCAGCAGCCTCCTGCTACGTGAAGTTGAGCACAGCAACATTTATTTCGGCCTCTGAATTGCGGCCACTACGTCCGCAAATTTGCGCGCGTTATAAATTGAACTATTATTATAATTCAAGAGGCCCTTTAATTGATGCACGCGGGAGGGAAAGAGCCGGGCGAGAGGCAAGAAGAGCACATCCTGAGCGAGGGGGTAACCCTGCCACCACCCCCTGACCCCCCCCCCCATCTGAACCCCGTACAGATGGCAACGGATGGAGATGAGTCCTCACTCCGCCGACTTCACCTGACGCCGTGGAGCCGCCCGTCGAGTTGATGCGCTGCTCGCATCTCCTTCGGGCGCCCAGCAGGATGGAGATCTGCTCTTCCCTCGTCAGCACGTCGTCGGCGTCCACCTATGGAAGTGTCGGAGGGAGTGAAAGGGAGAGAGAGAGTGAGAGAGTGTGTGAGAGAGAGTGAGAGAGTGAGAGAGAGTGAGAGGGAGAGTGTGAGAGAGTGAGAGAGTGTGTGAGAGAGAGTGAGAGAATGAGAGAGAGTGTGAGAGAGTGAGAGAGTGTGAGAGAGTGTGTGAGAGAGAGTGAGAGAGAGTGAGAGAGAGTGTGAGAGAGTGAGAGAGAGTGAGAGAGTGTGTGAGAGAGAGTGAGAGAGTGAGAGAGAGTGTGAGAGAGTGAGAGAGTGAGAGAGTGTGTGAGAGAGAGTGAGAGAGTGTGAGAGAGTGTGAGAGAGAGTGTGAGAGAGTGAGACTTTGACTTTGACTTTTGAAAACTTTATTACTCCAGCGCAAATTGCGCTGGAAAGTTTCCGTGCAGTCAGAACCAAACACATGCCTTTATGGCAACAGCATTCGCTTCATTTCATCGCCAAACAACATATAACATGTCATCATGGCAACAACATACACACCGCTTATTATCACGCAACACATCGCCACCGCCTCGCAGTCAGTGTCCGGCGTGCGCGATGTCCAGGTATTCACGGTCCCTTGCCTAAATCACCGGCCCTCCCTCCCCCCCATCTTCACCCTCCATCTCGACCGACGACAGCGATGATGGTGGTGGCGGTGGCGTCTTCAAGGCCCCCAAGGCCTCGGGCGGGAAGGGGGTGGTGGGGGGGTGGTGGGGGGGGGGTGAGGGCTGTTTCTGGACTTTGCTCATCAGCGCTTTCACCCGGAACATCTCCTGGCGGCTGTATCCATACCTGCTCGGGTCTTGGACGACGCGCCGAGCCACGCTCATAAAGTTTCCCCTATTGGGGAAGCTGTCCCGCACTCGGATGTAACGTCTCCCCTTGGACCATCTAAGAAAACCGAGAAGGTATTCGGGAGAGCACCCCCAGTTCTTCATGGGAGGCCAGGTCTCCGGCCTTTCCGCCTGCGGATCGCTATCGACCCCCCCATATCTTGGCTCCCACCTCCTCCTTCTTCTTGTAGTCGTCAAGCATTCCTAAGTCGTCTGTCAACGTCATCGCGCGATCGGCCTCCATCTCGCTGTAGCCGTACCTGTGTGGATTGAAGAAACCCCTCATGGCCGCCCTTGCAAAGGCGCGCCTATCGGGGAAGGCTTTGTATAGCTCTCTCAACACGTTCCCTGTTTTTCCCTTATGCATCATCCTTATCCAAGCAAGGACGGTTTTCGGCATGCACTCTCCCAGCTTAGGCTGATTCCTCCAACCTCCAAGCTTCTGGGGGTACTTCGCCCTGTCCAAATCATCCTCCAAGTCATCGCCATAAGCTTTCCCGTCGGCGCCAACCCACCCTCCGGTGTCTGCCGACGTTCCGGGAATGGGGACCTCACCAGGCTCCGTCCCGAGTGCAGGCAACCTCCTCCAGCCCTTCGGTCTCTTGAACCGTTCTGTGGCGGGGGGGGGGGGGGGGTTGCCTTTAAAGGGTACATAATCGCGCGACACACAGCTTGCATCTGCAACGACCAACGATCCTGCTCCAGACGTCGTCTGCGAGGCTGGAGTCGAGATCGGCCGTTGCGCCCCCTTGGTCGTCACCACCAGGTGCGCGATGCTGCTGCTGCTGCTGCTATCGGCCTCCATCGTTCCTCCTTCCACATCCACTGAGCAGCCGATCCGCTCGGTGGCACTTTCCTCATCAGTTGCCTCGAGCTCCGTACTCCCTTCCCCGTCATCCATCAGGGTAGATGAGGGGGGGGCCTCCGAGCTGTAGCGCCGCACAGCACAGAGCCTGCACTGGCGGTGGTCGGCGACCCTTCTCCTCCTGTCGCCGGGGTGAGCGAGGTCCGCCTCGGCGATCGTGTTCCCAGCTCGATCACGTTCGCTGGGTGCACGTCGTCAGAGGTTTCCCCGACCCCCTCCCCCGGCTTCACCGAGGGTAGCCCCTTCCTCTTAGATTTCTTCGACCTCTTCCCGCCACCACTCGGGGCGGATGAAGGGGCACTCCTTGGAGCGAGGGCACCGCTTGGCACGCCGACGGCGTCGGCGGCAGCCTCCGTCTCCCCTCTTTGCCGTGCTGGAACGGGCGAGGCCGGAATCGGTCGGGGCGCTCCTCCCATCGTCACCGACAGGTGCGCCTCGCTGGCAATCTCCATGGCCTCCCCTCCTTTATCCGCCGAGCAGCTGGTCCGTTCGGCGGCACTCTCCTCCCCGATCACATCGGGCTCCACGCTCCCTCTCTCGGTCCCCCGTCGGGCCGTGTGAAGGGTGGCTTCCCGGAGCTGCGCCGTCGCTCGGCACCATGCTGGCGCTGGCGGCAGCTGCTGGCTCCGCTCCCTCCAACGCCGGGGTGGGTGGGGCCGGGCTCGGCAACCGCGTCATCGGCTCGATCACATCCGCTGAGTCCGCGTTGTCAGTGGCCTCCACAGCTTCCCTCCCCGTGCACTCCACACCGCCGGCCGGCCGCTCGATGTCGTCGGCTGTGGCTGGCCTCTTGAGCTGCTCCGCCAGCCCGTTTCCGCGCCTCCTCCTCTTCCTCCTGGCGCTCTTAATGACGGCAGCCCCATTGCTGTCGGCTCCCTCGTGAGGGTCCGACTCCCCGTGCATCGGCACGGACTCGGCACCACCACTCTGCAGCTGTTGTTCCCGCTGCAGTGGCGGCACCTGTTGTGGCTGCTGCTGCTCACGCTGCTGCTGCTGTTGCTCCTGCTGCGGTGACGCCTGCGACAGGTGCTCACGCTGCTGTTGCTGCTCACGTTGCGGCTGCTGCTGCTGCTGTTTTTGTTGCAGCACCAGCGTTGTCTCCGTCGTTGCAGCTCCACTCGGCTTTGTTCCGGTGGAGCAGTTTTTTTTCAGATGCCCGGCACCACCACATGCGTAGCAGCGTGGCTCGGCCGTGGCCAGGTATATCGTGTGGACGCGGCCACCAGCAGTGCGTTTGATGGCCACATCCAGCTCGGTACTCCCACTTTTAAGCACGAGGAACGCCTGCCGTTGGCCTGACAGAACGTGCCTCAGCTCCCTCCGTTGTGTTTTTATATATAGCAGGACGATGGGCGATACCACGACGCCGTAGCGTTGCAGTTCCACCCTTAGCTCTGCATTCGTGAAGTATGGTGGCGCGCCGGAGATGGTCACCCGAACAGCCGGTGTGGAGAGCGGGCTGCATTGCACGAGCAGCCCCCCCTCCCCCGACGCTGAGCCCCCTCTCAACGACACGCGCCGCCGCCTCCACTGTGGCCACGTAGACTACGTAGCCCCGATTCTCCCTCTGGATCACTCGAATGGCCGCCGGCCCGGTGTGTTCCGCCACCGCCTCAGCGACGCCGTCAAGCGACGTCCCCAGCGGAGGGAAACAGCGAAACCCGTGCCAATCTGTGAGGGCCTCCATGCTGCCAGGCTGAGCCATGGTGCTTGCATGGCAGCAGCGCAGTGGCAGCGAAAAATAATCGTAGAAAAAAATACAAACGTGATAAAAAAGTAATAACCCCCACACAAAACAAACACACCACACACACCCAAAACCAACCACCAGACAGACAAACACGCACACGCACAGACAAGCACACACACGCGCAGGACAAACACACAGACGAACACACACACGACCGAACCAGCAAGCAAACAAATGAAACCGAACAATCAAACAAACATACAAATAAACAAAACGACAGATAAACGAACAAACACACAGACAAAACACTCACCAAACAGACTAGCAGGCCAACACACGCGGTGTTCAACCAGGTAAAAAGCAACAGGCCAACACACAACGCGACCAGCCAAGCAGAAAAACAAACAAAACGAACACACAGACAAACACACAACCCAGACAAACACACAAGCAACAGTAGTAATAAAAACCTGTTACTACAGCAGGCTGACACCCGGGAAGAAAAACCAGAATAAACTAGCGTTTTTCCCTAGTTCACTCTCCCTAGGCCAGGCTCAGGCTCACACCTGAGCCCAGGCCTCCACCCACACACACGTTAGAGCGGGAGCACCACGTGTATGCAGCCGCACCCCACGGTGGCGAGAGAGAGAGAGTGAGTGTGAAAGAGTGTGAGAGAGTGGGAGAGAGTGTGTGAGAGTGTGAGAGAGAGTGTGAGAGAGAGAGTGAGAGAGAGAGAGTGAGTGTGAGAGAGGGTGAGAGAGAGTGAGAGGGAGAGTGAGAGAGAGTGAGAGGGAGAGTGAGAGAGAGTGTGAGAGAGAGTGTGAAAGAGAGAGTGTGAGAGAGTGAGAGAGAGTGTGAGAGAGAGTGTGTGAAAGAGTGAGAGAGTGTGTGAGAGAGAGTGTGAGAGAGTGAGAGAGAGTGTGAGAGTGAGTGTGTGAAAGAGTGTGAGAGAGTGTGAGAGAGAGTGTGAGAGAGTGAGAGAGTGTGAGAGAGTGTGTGTGAGAGTGTGAGAGAGTGAGAGAGAGTGTGTGAGAGAGTGAGAGAGTGTGAGAGAGAGAGTGTGAGAGAGTGAGAGAGAGAGTGTGAGACTTTTGACTTTTAAACAACTTTTATTGCCGCCAGCAGCAAAAAGCACCGGAGGCGATTCCAATATGAAAAAAACAGTCGCCAACAAACGAAAAGAAAACAAACGTTACATATCATTACAAATCTACGTGCTGTGGTGCTGAAAGCACCGCACACAACACAAAAGACAAAAGCCACGTGGTGGTGGTGGTCATCGCGCACGCCACGGTGACGAGCGAGCGCTTCAGAAGGTGAACACCACGAGGGTGCCGTCCACGCTGGTACAGAGAGGGGCTTGTCCGGCTCCCCAGCGTTCGAAGAAGACGCACACATCACCGACATGTGTGTGGTACATGGCGTGCTCCAGCCGGAGCCGCGCCTTGAGCAGGCCCCTGAACACTGGAAGCACAGAGCAGCCGTCAGTGTCACCTTCCAGCATCTTTTTCCTCGCTCTGTAACACCGCCATCTTCGCTTGAGCACAGGCGAAGTTGGCGAAGTCATCGCGCTTGTTAGCCAGGTAAGGCACCACCCCCATA